GAATATTATTACTTCAAGTATAGGTAATCACACAGGAAGGAGTGCAAGTTAATGATTAACACTACGAGTGATATTTGAAAAATGTGCCAAAATTGCACGAGTCGCCGAGACGAGTGCAATTTGGCACATTTTTCAAATATCACGAGTAGTGTTAATCCCCGAGCCGACGGCGCGAAGCGCCGTGCGAGGGTACTAATTCCCCCGGCTATTTACACCCGGGAAAACAAAAGCATTAGCGAAGTCTAAAGTTCATCAATGATCGCGGGGCGTGACCAACGATCTTGAGTGGAAGCACTGTTCAACACACAATTGGGAAGCCATGTTTGTATGTTTATAACGTGTTCAAAATAGTGAAGTTCTTTAGTTCAGTTAATCATCTGAATTTGATTGAAATACAACTCCTGGTTGTGTCTAGTTCGGTGTCTTCTGCTGGAAGAACAGGTAGGTCATTTTCGTCAGAAAATATATAATTTAACAACCCTCGAAAACGTGATCGGCATTCGGCAATGCCGACCTATTAAAAATGCCGACCTATCAACCTCCCAGGTCGGCAATGTTTTGCCGACTTAATTCAGCCAAAGTAAGAATCTTCTTTAGTGCTTATAGCTGTTTAAAAGTCAGCGATTATAGAATTCCATACACTTTGGTGTAAGGTTTAAGAATTAACGGGTATTATGATATAATTTAGGTAAGACTCTAAAAGAGAAGCCTTCGTGACATTTATACTTTTCAATGATTCATAAATACGTGATTACTAGTGCAGGCTACTAGTGCTCCAAGACATGGAAACAGATTTTAAAAAATGCCGAAATGTGCCGAGCTAGGTCAGATTTAGATCGGCATTCTTTTTCCGACCTCAATTTTGACGGTTTTCGAGGGCTGATTTAAAAATTAAAAGGTCAAAATTTGGAAATTTTTTTACAGCAATAAAGAAAATAAAATCCAAAGTTTGTATCCTAATGCTGATTGGCTAGTTGTAAATACTAGACTGATTTTCACTGGTTGTAGACAAGAGCGCGATTACAGCTCAGAAAACGTGCGGTTAATGCTCAAATCGCACTCCTGTAAACCAATGAAATTGCAGTATTTGCCACTGATTACAGAAGATAAATAATTAATGAAATAATTGTACTCCTCTTAACCAATCAGATTGCAGTAATTGTGTCATGTATATAATAAAAACAACTGAAATTACCCCACAATTTGAATTTATTAGTTATCATGGTTCATAAGTAACCGAGACTGCGTAGCTCAGTTGGCAGAGCATTGGGCTAGTATTCCAAAGGTCGCAGGTTCGATTCCCACCGTAGCCAAGATAATTTTCAAGCTTGCCCGGTGTGTATATACACTCAGAGTAACATCACAAACATTAAGTAAAAACTGTTTATCGGCAAATGTAGCCTGCGTAGCAGGCGTTTAGTGCGGGCGGGAGAAGAAAGGGCGTCGTTAAATAAACGCCTGCCCAAATGCCTATGATTAATTTGTTCTTCTCCGAAGAATCTTCGGAAAAGCTTCCTATTGGTTAATCTCGTTAACGGAAGTAATTACGTAACTCAAATTGTCAACAATAATTTTGCTCGCATTTATAGCTATGTTTATAGTCGCGTATCAAAAATATGCCGCCTGTTAATGCTTTCGAGGAAACTTTCTTATATTTCAAGTATTTAGGCTTCGAAATTCAGTTGAACCAGAACAGAGAAAGTATATTATTAATTTGCTACGTGGTGAATACGCCGGTTATCGCGATTCTTCCTAAGGAATACGGAAAAGTTTGATCTTTCAATTATGCATTTTAAATATATCCTGAATATTTCTTTAATATAGTTGTCTTGTTATTTGTTCACTTTAAAGTATAATTCAAGACCAGATAGTTGAGGCTACATCACTTGGCATTGCAGCTATGAGGTTGGATGATGATTTTAAGAATAACATTTCAAAACATGCTCAAAGGTTATATTTGCCATACGGCAGAATACGTTAAACAACCGTGGTTCAGGAGTCTTTTAAAAGATAAAAGCTCTGTGCACGTTGTGACTGACTGTTGTCTAAAATTATGTAAAACAGCTTCAAAAACTCATTAATAATTCATGAAACACAAAGAAAAATCATAAACGCGTCGTATCCTTGATTTACATAAATTTTAATGATTTTCTCTACATATACACACCGAATTTTTTGAAAGCTACTTCGCCAATGAACGTATACTAGATCGATCGTTTTTGAAGCAATTTAAAACATTCGCAGTGCGTGTTTTATCAGACCATCTTTATATCTGCTCGTGTTTTAAATAGTGCATAAAATCTCTGCAAATCTCCGTAGTTGCCGAGCAAAAAGCATGCATGATGCTAAATATAAATCTCGACTATGATTGGATAATGGGTGAAGGTGCTAATTACAAAACGTCAATCATCCTTAATGGGCGAAAACAAATTGTCATAGCCATTTGGGCAGGCGTTCCCTCTGTACCCGCCCATCAGCTAAACGCCTGCTACGCAGGCTACGGCAAATGTAGCTATATAGTTTAGTTAAATGAACAGTTCAAAACATTTCACGAAGAGTTTCAAGTTAAATTTTACATTAATCAAAGCTCACAAAATGCAAAATAACATGCATACCCGCAGGAAATTAATTTTATTATTATTATTGCATGGAGTCTAAAAAACATGAAGAAGACAATAGATAGCTTTAATTGCCATGCAATTAATATACATTAAAATTAGGGTAAATATAAAACATTTACATTGTTTGAATATTTTAACAGTATTCCTTTTAACTAGACTATAGATAATTTAAAATATTAAAGTTCATATTTAAAATATCAATGTTGGTAAAACGTCATAAAACCTAGGGTCTCGCTAAGCTACTATTATAGCAGTGTATAGCGTGTACAAACGGACTATTCTAAAATATTTCTGTTCTAAATTTGAAATTATAATACATATTCGCATTGGATCTAGTTTCTCTTTGTCTTGTATCTCGAACGCTGTCTGGAAGTAGATCGTGTAGACGGTGCTCAGGCGAAAAAAAAGATTGCAATCAAGTATATGCAATGATTCTCGCGTCTTTCTCTCAGCGTTTGCATCATAAGATGGTTTAACGCCACAAAATATTCCACTCCAGGTAATATGATTCTGTATCCTCTTTTCTGTACTCTTTCAATGTTTGCACTTTGAGCATTGGTCACACCTCCATGCCACAACACATCTCCATATTCCAGAGTTGATCTAATTATACTACAATAGGATTGTGGAAAATCCTGCGTTGGCGCCCCATACCTTTTGAGCAATTTGAGAAAGTACAACCACTTTACGATATACAACCACTTTACGATATACTCAGTGTTACTGTCCCATTTTAGATTGCCGTCAAGCTATGTTCCTAACAGTTTAAAAGAAGTGACCCCTTCAACTTCTGAGTTGTACATCTTAATACTTCTAATTGTAGTTTTCCTAACGCGAAAGTCAAAAATCATTTCTTTTGGTTTTTTTTACATTGAGTATCATGCTTTGTTCACCACAAAAGGTTGATATAATTTTGTATATTAAGTTCCATGTTCCAAATTGGTTGATCTGACCTATGACTGGTCAAATTCAACACTTTCGATAGCGTGTTATCATTTATATACATCGAAACTTGTACCGTATTAATTGAATTGTCTGTCAATCCACGTTTACTGCGATGAAAAATATGCTGCTGTCACGTGACCAAGTTTGCAATTTTTCGGACAACTTTCGCACTCCGCTATTCAAAGTGTATACACGTGCGCGATATAAACAAGCGAAAATATCGCAAAATAAGGACGATTTGAAAGTTGTTTTTTTTGTATTTGTGGGTATATTTTAACTCCTGTAAGTGTAATATAGCGAAGAGAAAAATGGTAATGAGAATAAGCGTGTTTCGGACATGACTGTTGCCGAACTAAAGGAGTATTTGAAAATGCATGGCGTTACTGCAAACGGCTATTTAAAACCTGCTTTACTTCAAATTGCTCAAGCAGTGGAGAAAATGATGTTGCCGATTGACCCAAATCATGAATATGGAAATTCGGATCTCAAGAACGCAAGAGAAACATTTATTATTCATGATATGGTGATACGTCAGCCATTGTCATATCCAGTTGTGAACGACTTTATACTAGATTCGCGACCCTTCGGTTTGTATATTTTTAACTGTTTAATATAAAGCTCAGCTGAGTATGATAAACAGGGACTTGCCTCATATAAATCATTCGAAGATTATAGAGGCTGCAAGCACATCGCAGCCTGTTTGTATTCGCTGGAGGATGTACTGCATAATCGGTAATCGCGAGAGTGTAACATCTGGTCCATGCCAGGTCATTAGTAGAAAAGCGCAAATATATTGATTATAAAATATAACTTACTTTATTCCCATCAGCTGTAGCTGGTATCGGATCAGGATAATCCGCTGTGGGTCCATTTTCGTCAATAAAATGAAAACCGCATATATAGCTGTCTTTCCGACAGACGAACTTGTCGCCTCGACAACATGCATTCATCCAAATTTGCCTTCTTTCCTTAGATTTCTTCTCACCTGGGAAACTGTAGAAAGATACTGAAGTCCCATTGTCCTTTTTTAAGCGTGCTGGTTACCTCGAATCGCTTTTCCATATTCCCCAAGCACATCTCTTTACCATAATTTGTGAATCGCTTATAGTATAATCATGGATAGTATAATCGAGGCCATCGAGCGAAATATATCCCTATATTTTCGTACCCACACAACGGGAAATTTTTCTCTTCGCTACATATTACACTTACAGGAGTTAAAATATACCCACAAATACAAAAAAACCTTCTAAATCGTCCTTACTTTGCGATATTTTCGCTTGTTTATATCGCGCACGTGTATACACTTTGAATAGCGGAGTGCGAAAGTTGTCCGAAAAAATGCAAATTTTGTCACATGACAGCAACATATTTTTCATCGCAGTAAACGTGGATTTGAACATACACCATTCCGTTTTATTCTCGCCTTAATACCATCCACGGACTTTCCCTCCGTCTTTAAGAACTCTTGCTGTTTTCTCACCGTTTCTTGCTGTCAAACTAAGTTCATAGCCTTTTCTAGGGTCAAATCGGCTTCCAATTGTAGCTTTTCCAACAACCTTTTGTCCAATATCCCCACAACAATGTGGTCTCGGATGAGCTCCTGTCGAAGAGTGCCAAATTTGCAATGTTCTGCTAGACTGAACAAATCATAATGAATGTTTCTATTGGCTCACTTTCTTGCTGATTACGAAAGGTTAAACTTGGCCCGCTCGAATATGACATTTCTCTTTATTATAAAGAAATGTTCGAGTTTATGTTTTACTATATCGTATTTCTTCTGCTCTGCTTCAGAGATACCCAGTGATTGTATATTCATACATATATGAAGATATTCATACAAGAAGTCGACATGAACTGTCTTTTGAACCTGAAAAAATGAGGTGAATTTTATACACACAATAAGCGGGCCTGTATTTCATATCTGAAAATCGAATGCATTTTGCCCAAACTGTGAAATTGATACATTACATGCCGTTTGTATAGTTACTAATTGCTTATATTGTTTTGTTCTAATGCTCTATTAACTGCAAATATACAATTCAAATGCATTTGTAAGGAACGTCATTGACACCATTATGCCCATATGAATAGCTTTATTTTTCAATATTAAACAAGTCCGCATATTAATAGATTATATCGTCGTTTGTTATACATGTACATTATTATTGTTGTTGTTTTCGATTGTTGTATATTGCGTTGCAATATTTAGATTAATACATGCAGGACACCCTTTAAGTTTTAACCTTTTTGGCCGTTTTGCGAAAAATCGCTACTGCGCGCTCAATATCAATCTGATTTTCACCAAATGTTTGCCAGTGCATGCAAAATATGGTAAAGTTGTAAAATTGATAAACATATGTAATGAAATAATAATTCATCATTTCGCTAATATGGCGATTTCTTTGACAACTGCATCATTATATTTCTAAATTGTTTGAGTTAATTACTCCTTATTATTGTAAAATATCAAATAATCAAGAATCAGGCTACTGCATTCATGGAAACCAAATGTTCTGTAACCTTAAAATTAATGATACAAAACTTCAGTGACCCATATCAATGAATCATTCTTTTGCATTGCATTACATTACACTACAATGTTATTGCATATTAATACTTGGTTTTCTGACTTTTCTCTGATCAATGTATAATTATGTCATGCTATATAAATTATATTACTTCTAAATTTTTAGGCTGATATACTAGCCGGAGCTTGCCACTTGCAAGTTTATCAATGAGAATACTATATGTACTGGGTTGCAAGAAGAAATTAAAGTTGTAGCATGTAGAGATACAAATTATATTTTACGAAGAAATGGTTTCTGCTTCTTAAATTTGCTGAGATAGTTGAAGAAATGCGGCATCTGTGTCCCACAATGTACAAGATTTTAGCTGCAATGTTAGATGTCAAGGAAGATCAGGAACATGGAAACATGATATTGGCATTGATATACGGACTGATAATGTTCAGACATTTCAAACAATTAAGTTTGATACAACGAGTTAATACAGTTGATAATTGATGCCGGTTCAAATCTGCAGGTATTTTTCATAAGTTATTTTTTAACATACTGTATCATCATCACTCAGTCTCTTACGTCTATCTGCAGTTTGTCACTTGAATAACATATTACACTAGCTTGTAGTTACTCACGTGTACCCTTGCACTACTGTAACTACTCACGTACCCTAACCCGTCTAAATAGTGTATATTGTCCCAGCTTGTTTTCCGAAGAAAATACACTCATGCACACATGCATTGCTAGTGCTCTGCAAAAGGCAATTTAATAAATATTTTATCATTATGCATTAATAGCAACATCGATTAATGTGAATACGCCAAAGACAAAATTAATCTTTTCTGAAGAAATAGTTAGAAATGACGACCCTCAATTCATGATAAAAGTCAATTCAATCCGCCAATATTAATTTCCGACGTATATGACGGGAAAGATTAAATATTAAAGAACTCCGCGAGTATTTGAAGAACTCCGCGAGTATGAAAATACCACCAAAAAATCCCACTTGATCGATACTATATATTCCGAAATATTGATATAATTTTATTGTTTCTCGCTCAATTTCAAGCAAATTTCTTACCTTGAAATCATCAATGCAGTGAAATTTATGCAATGACGCATTATCAATTTTGCTGTTGCATTTTGAATGTTCCGCCTGATTCAAATGCTTGTATTTTTGCTTCTTTTTAACGTATAATAAAGACAAATATACCAAAAAAATCGCCATCTTTCATTCTATAGCTCAGAGCAGTCTCGGGAAATTGCAAAATAATCTATGCCTATTATGGCGATTCTCATGGTCGGAAAGTGTTCGGCCAACTTCGGACACAAAATTCTTGGTAAAGCATTACAGTTTCCTGGTAAAAGCCTGCAGAAATCACTTCCGGAGTGTTTGTTTACCTTAGATACGGATTTTGATTGGCTTAGGCATAAAAACAAACCTTTTAGAGCAATTTTCCTGAGTCGCGCACGAGAATGCACGAGTGTTGTAATGTAATTGTATTGTTTGAATCGCATTCTGAAGACGTTTTTGGCTTTATTTTGCAAACTGATAGTGCTAGTAATGATGGAATGTCTTCGTATGAAGACAAGTATCTCAACCTGGCATTGGGGGTCGTGTCTGGAGTTTCAAGGCAAGTATTTTTATCATTTCCAGACAATTTCTATTTCAATGTTTTGCCGTTGCCATGGCGTTGTAAATTCATTTGTATTTAGTATAGCTTCACTAGTACGACCAAATATGTCCTCATATTGCTTTTTTGTGTTGAAATAATCCTTTCATACTGAAATTGACAAATATAAATGGTATTTATTTATATTGTTGACGAAAATTTATGGTGTTTCAGGCATAAAAATCTCGGATTCCTAGGCGAAGTAAAATGAGCCTTGAGCACATGTTTGGTTGTTTGTTACATACATAATAGCCAAGTATTCATACTTATATCTTACTAGTTTGGCTCTTATTATAATTTTAAGTGGCACCATGTAAATTATGTCTATAAAAAAGTTTTTATTTGGACTGAAGAATATATTGATCCTGTTCCTATCTGCTGTTCCTGTTTTATAGCCTCAGGGAAGTAGCAGTTCTGATGAGTTATGAGAACCCCACTCCCCAACCCAGAGGGAAAGTAGGGGGATGAGTAGAGGTACAATCCTGGAAAAAAATTAGTAGACCTATTAAATTTTCAAACTTCGTCCCCCTCCCCCCTTATACAATGTTGGTATTTAGGTGATATGTGTTGCAAATCCACTTTACCTGAACCAACATTGTTTGTGGGGAAAGGGGGGTGGGGATTTAAGGTAAATAGTCGCTTTAATTGAAAAATGCTCACATTTTCATGTTTTCAAATTTGGGTGTATATTTCGAAAAGTCTACACATATTTTTTCCAAGATTGTCTGAAAAAATACAATGGATAATCATTTTACCAAATTAATTGTACCGTCGTTTTCAAAACATAATTTTCAAATTAGTATGGACTCTATATTAGGAACATAATTCATGGTTTGATTAAACCCTTTGAAGGCCAGGGGTTGGTAGACGGGGGGGGGGGGCTTATGAAGGTGCCCTGCTTTAACAAAAATTGTGGTTAATTTATCCAGTCAGGCTGCATTGACAAAAAATTATGGCAGTTAATAACAAAAAACTATCGGAGGGACAGATATGGCATCTATAGATTATTACATTGTACAATGTTTCATGACCGTCACATTTTTTCACATATTTGTCAGTCATTAAAATTTTATGGTGCAGAATTGTACCTATAAAGTATGTTTTAATTAATATGGTTTCAATATGCTTTTATACCGCATTTACCTGTGATTGCCTCAAAAGATCTTTTTACTATTTAATAAATGTAATAAATCTGAGTAAAATCACTACATGTTACACCATGTTACACCACATGTTACGGTACATGTTACACTAAAAGTTCTATATTTTATTATATATCCTCACATGTTACAACATGTTACACCTACCTTTAAAAAATCTATAGTTCCTTTTAAAAATATAGGTGTAACATGTAGTAACATGTCAAGAACTATAGTAAAGTATAGTAATTTTAGTGTAACATGTTGTGTAACATGATGTAACATGATGTAACATGTAGAGATTGAGATTTGTTCTAATCTATAATAGTTGAAAATGTGCATAGAGAACTAAAAACCTTAAAAATAAATTAATCCTAACATAATTTAAGACACAACCATACGATAAACGAGCAGAAGTGTCTCTTAGTTTATTTATTCCAAACGAACTCAAGAAATCAAGCAGATATGTGTATTTTATGAAATTAATGTCGCTTGTTTTCCGCAAGCAAACACCAAGTAAAACATGTTGAAAAGAGTGTTAAACCTACAGGATTCTAAGTTGAAGCAAATTATAAATTTACTATACATTCCAAGGTATAAAAACATCTAGAATCGTTATGCTTGTGATGTTACTCTGAATGTATATCCACACCGGGTAAGTTTGAAAAATATGCCTGGCCACGGTGGGAATGGAACCTATGACCTTTGGAATACTAGCCCAATGCCCTTCCAACTGAGCTACACGGTCTGATTGGTTCGATTGTGTGATATTTCGGAACAGAATCTAGTTCCTTCGATATCAATGTAATTTGGTAATCATGAAATATCACATACTCGAACCGACCTGACCGTGTTGGGCTAGTATTCCAAAGGTCGTAGGTTTGATTCCCATCGTTGCCCGGCATATTTTTCAAGCCTACCCAGTGTGCATATGCACTCAGAGTAACAGCACAAGCATCATATTCACCCGAGTACTTTACACCAACACAGCAAAAATCTAGAATCGTGTCCAAATTCAACGAAACTGCAAGATAACTCGAGCTATGGCCAGTAATATACACCTATTTTCTGAAATCCTACCATCGCAAGTCCCCCCCTGAAAATTTTTTTGGGGGTTTGTTACCACTAACATATGTACCACTTGACTTTGATAACAACAAAATAGAATAGAAAATTTTATATGTTCAAAAAATTTAATGTCCTTCCTTTAAGGGTTTGCCTTAATTTAGGGACAATCCTGGAAAAAAATTAGTAGACCTATTAAATTTTCAAACTTTGTCCCCCTCCCCCCTTATACAATGTTGGTATTTAGGTGATATGTGTTGCAAATCCACTTTACCTGAACCAACATTGTTTGTGGGGAGAGGGGGGGGATTTAAGGTAGATAGTCGCTTTAATTGAAAAATGCTCACATTTTCATCATATGTTTTCAAATTTGGGTGTATATTTCGAAAAGTGTACACATATTTTTTCCAAGATTGTAGATGGAAGCCCAGCCATTAGGACCCAAGGTTTCGAAAGTTCCCTGTCTAGCAACCCCACTAGTCCCATAGTACATAACGGATATGATGATCGTGACACTAGGAATATTCTCCCAGATTTTGCCCCTCACTGACATGTCCGGGATCCATTTCGATCAAGCTTTCACCTGAAGTATGAACTGTGAGCTTGAGTTCATTCGGCTCTTTTTTACTAAGGGAATACTTCAGGAGGTAGTTTCCTGGCCATACCAATACATATGCCCACATACAAATAACTCAAAAGTTATCCCCATATATACTAATAAAGAAGGGTCTTGCAGTCCACCAACCTTGAGAGGTTGATTGCCTTTTAGTATATGCAGGTTTGGTAAAGGTTGACAGTGAGATTGAAAATTATTGGAGTGTAAAAATCTTATATCATGGTCTGTGGGCAATAGAAATAATTTCTCGGGTTAGGTACAAAGCGCTTATGGCGTTTGTGAATATGGTAAGCAGATCATGTCACTACAATCTACAATAATAATAAACATCATCAACAACTGTACCAGCCGTCACAGAATATTGTTCTTGACAAACACACTGTCAAATCAAGAAATAGGTTGGGGATTAGGCAGTTCATGAAAGATGGCCTACTATGTGGGGGATAAATCTGTGGATTGCTGCAGACAGTCCTAATGGTTATATTGCAACGTTGAAATTTATACAGGAAGAAGTCCAGATATTCATCGCAACAGATTCGGGTATGACGTGGTGATCTGATATATAAGTTTGGTTACAGTCTTTTGTGGTACAATATAAAGGAAATATCTTCACCACATAATCCAATTATGTGCTTTGGCAAACATTACTGCTTTGGCAGACATTACTGCCTTGGAAAACATTACTTTTTTATAACTACTAATGATGATGCCAGCCCAACAACACTTAGTCATGCTATATGCAAATATTTTCATGTTCTAGATTGTGAAAACAGTCAATTTCTAAACAAATGAGTAGTGATTATTTCACATTTGAATAGCATGACCAAATTTTCAGGTTGGTTATGCCACTAATAACTAAAGTCAATGGTGTAATGATTATCTAAGAATGTATGTAGTAACTGTAGAAATAAAGATATTTTGCTAATCATGATTTGAGTGCCATACTATCCTTAGAGAGTAAGAAATATTGGAAATTTCTATTGATAATATGTTGCGGCAATGAAAAAGGAAGCACCTTTGATAAAGGTATTTGTTTCATGTGAGCACAAAATGTAAATTTTACTCCACTACCTAGTTTATATAAAAATTCAATAAAAATACTTGTATTTATGCTACATGCATGAAACTTTGGGTACTTTTAGATCATAACCGTGTCTTTCAGTTATATTCATAGATTTTTTTGACATATTTGAAATTTGAACCGCTAAATACATTTATGTATAATTGGAACATTTTTTATATCATAATTTATGCAAATTTATGCAAGTAAATCGTTAACCAAGCCCCGGATGAAATTGAAATTAGTATCGTTGGAAAGCAGAAGTCCTCTTTCGAACGATGTAATTTCTGTTTCTGCACGATGTATAGTTTGGAAGATATATGCGTTTGAAACAACACCACTCAAAATTGCTACTTTTTGACTGGATGGGAATGAGTTAAACAAGTCAATTCAAAACTATCACAGGTATGTCTAAGCAACAGATGGGGTTTGCTAACTCATGGAAACATTTTAGTTAAACCCTTAAACCCATAATATGGTGTTCACCTGAGTAAACAAGGAACTGCAATCTTCGCTAAGAATCTTAGTGATTTTCTAAAACTTAACTATTGACTGCCTAATTATAAGAGTTCCACAGTAGATTGCAATAAGGACAATATCGAACTACCTTCAGAAAAGTTAAGCACAATGTGCGAAACTAGAAAGTCAACCCTATCCTATGAGCACAATTCAAATTATTTTGACAATCAACAAGACCGGTTATTTCCGGCTATCTGAGGCTTCAAAATAGCTTCTTTGACCATAACAAGTTTACCAAAACATAGTGACAAACTTCGGATCTGCATGAATGATAAAGAAATAGATGTTCTTGCAATTACTGAAACACAAATGGATGATAGTGTGTCAATCCACTCAATAGCCATTCAAGGTTACAATTGGATTTCAAAAAACAGAAATAGATCTGGGGGTGGTATCCGTTTTTTCATCAGAGATTAAATAAATTAGGGGTGCACCGGATTTCAAATCAGGCCAGAATTCCGGCCCGATTTAATGAATTTTCCGGCATCCGGCCGGATTTAAATGTCTGTTTTCACCTTAAAAAAATCACCAAGAATGGGATAAACCATCAATTTGGCTGCTTTTATTATTATAAAATATCAAGTTATTAACAAAAAGATATTTAAAAAGGTTTAAACACAATCAAAAACCTAAACTGACACTAACTAAAAATAGTAAAAAACATAAAACCGTCATTTTCAATACTGACTTATCCCAATTTATCCCCATTATCGGTTTATCTCAAATCCGGCTGGAATTCCGGCCGGAATTTTTGTCCAAATCCGGTAAATCCGGTTCCGGCCGGATTTGAAAATTCCAAATCCGGTGCACCCCTAAAATAAATTTTCGACCTCAATCTGATCTGAATAATCTTGATAAAAAACAAATTAAAAAAAAATAAAGGAATATATAAGTTAATAAATAAATATGACAGTATTAGTAAACAGAATGTTAAACCACCGTTCTTAATTACAACGTGGTATCGACCACCAAATGATCCAATTGACACCCTTTATAGATTTGAGAACTGTTTACAACTAATCGATACTGACAATATGACTTCTTATCCTCAAGTCTATCTCCACAAGCTTTGGAACTCAAATTTATTACAGGACTGTATGTACTATTTACAACATGAGCGGTTGTGTTGTATCGGATATACAAACTCGAGCTGAAGGCGAGAGTTTGTATATCCGATTCAACACGGACGCGAATTATGTAAATGGCTTAAAAAACGACTCGTCTTATGAGTTCATTGGCAAAGTAATTTTAGAAATAAACGTCGTCTAAGCCGAGAAAATCTAAAGTTTATGTAAATCAACATGAATCTGTATCACATATACAGATATGACATGCTTATGATTTTTCTTCATGAATTATTGAGTTTTTTAACAATATGAACAATTGATAAGTGAACCTACAAGAGTTACTAAAGATACTCAGGCATTAATTGATCACTTTTATACAACAAATCCTGATAATATTATTTCAAAGGGAGTTTCAACTGTTTCCATAAGTGATCACTATCTTATTTAGGGCATCAGAAAATTTAAGGTCTGCAAAGAAAATGCAAAAATATTTGAATACCGCGACTACAAAATTTTCAACAAACCGTGGCGTAGCCAGCCCAACAATTTTGTCCCGCTATGCAAATTCAAAATTATTATCATTATTCATCTCTTTAGAAATTGATTGTTTTCACAGTCAATGAACATGGAAATATTTGCATAGCGGGACGAAATAGTCGGGCTGGCTACGCTACTGTCAACAAACACATATTTTTGTGTGACCTGCAAAATCACTTATCCGATTTTGACCTGGACCAACACAATCAAAATATATCTTGGCAAATTTGGAAGAATAAATTCTTCAGAATCTGGAACAACCATGCCCCAGTAAAAAGATGGAAAGTTGGCACTAAGCAGCTTATTTGGCTAACAGACCTAATTCACAATAAAGGCCGTATTAATTTCCTACATAGGAAAGTTAGAACAACCAATACAACTGATGCCTGGTCTGTCTACAGAAAGTAAAAAACCAATACAGTAGGCATGCTACAAAGTGCTCATATTATCGAGGCAAACTACATTTGAAACAAACATGGAAAACACTCAACAAATCGATGAGTACAAAGTCAACTAACAATAAAATCCCAGAAATGAAAGATGAGAATAGTGAATTAATTGACGGACCACTGATCCCTGACAGCTTTAATAAATATTTTGTTGAACTAGGGGAAAAACTTGCAAATAAAATTCCTTGATCGAGTATTTTAACAGATAGTTTCCTCAGTGATGTACACCATCCAGTTAATGGGCTCCCTAGCTTTCAAGAGATTTTTGAAAATGATGTTTTGAAACTACTTCATGGTTTAGGGCCCAATAAGGCATCAGGAATTGATGGTATATCCTCTCGTATGTTAGAAAGTTTGGCAACAGTTATTTCACTATCTCTAACATCAATATTCAACCAGTCAATCTTAACAGGTATATTTCCCAATGATCAGAAAATCTCTAGAATTACTCCAATCTTTAAGTCTGAAGCTAAAGATGAAGTGACAAACTACAGACCAATATTTGTTATATCAGTAGTTGCCAAAATTTTGGAAAGCTGATTCATAACCAAATCTATAATTATTTACATGACTATAATCTGCTTTCAAATTCCCAACACGGATTTAGACCACTTCACTCAACTGTTACAGCATTGCTGGAAATAACTAACGAGTGGTATACAAATATGGACATTGGGAAACTAAATGGATCTGTTTCTGGATCTGAAAAATTTGAAAAACGACTGTTGACAGTAGCGTAGCCAGCCCGACTATTTCGTCCCGCTATGCAAATATTTCCATG